AGGTTAAAACGGAAAAGAGTTTAATTCGTTTCTAATTCATTTAAATAATAATAAAATAGTTTTTTATTATTATTATTATTAAATTTAATTGATTTAAGAAAATTAATTTTTATTAATTAAACAAATTAAATTATTGTATTTTTTATTATTATTATTATTTATTATTTATTATCGAGAGCCTGATAACGAAGTTTAATGAGTAAGGCCTACGACGACATTAAAGTTAAGAATCTCTCGATATAAAAACTATAACTTAGATAAATATCTTCAATTTTAATATAATTTACATGAGTATTAAGTATTTTATAGGTTAAATATTTTAATTATGGGATGTAATTTAGTATTTGAATGAATTTACTTATATGTAAACGTAGTGATTCGGCACATAATGAAGACTCTCTACGGATCTATTCAACGACTTGTTACGTTATATAAATCCATTTAGAGATTTATTTCTTTATTCAGATACGTTATACAAGATAGGGAATCCCTAAATGTGTATATTTAAGCGTATTTAGGTACTGGCTACCTGGTATAAACGACGTTTCTATGTGTTATTTAGACTCGTTTAGAGATATTTCTTTACATTATTCGAATGTTTATTTATACATTTAAAGACTTGTAGATTCATTAAGAAATTTAGTTCTTTATGTAGAATCATTCAGTACTTTGTATAAACGTATATAGACTTTATACACAGATACAGAGTACTGTACTTGATGTAGATACGTCTAGATTTAATTTACAGACTTGTTACGTTACGTAGACATTTTAGAGAGTTGTTACTTTATATATAAGCATTTATATACTTGATATATTATATAAACGTGTTTAGAATCTTTCCACGTCGAGTAAAACGTATACGGATGCAACTAACGCATTGTTCAGATAAACATTTAGAGCATTAGAGTAGTTAAGTAAAACTCAAATAAAGCAATTAGAGATTTAGTTTATGTTATAAATTTCAACTTTAAGTCTTATCGAGTTATTTAATACTTTATAATTTAAAAAATTAAGTCTTTGTACTCGGTAGAGAGATCGTTAAAGTAAATTTTAAATGCTCCCTACAAAGCCTACAAAATACACTAAAAGTATCGCCAATAATTATTATATACAGTCGACCCCCCTATAAAACTGTTGATTATTCCGTTTTATATGAATTCCATGTTGTACGAGTCAGTTAGATTTTACAAATATGTGAGCCGTTCACAGCCCGGCACACGTAGGCTTATTTGTAAAATCTAAGTGACTCGTACAACGTGGAATTCATATAAAACGGAATAATCAACAGTGTTATAGGGGGGTCGACTGTAGAGGAAAAAATAATTAAATTTTGGTTCGTTTATAAGATTTATTTATATATTTTTTTCATAAAAAAATTCTTTACGGGTCTAGTTTATATTACATAACGCTTTTATCGACTTAAAAATCAAGAGCCTAGTTGACAAAAATTGATTTTTAATTAAAATTGGGTACAAATATAATTAATTAATTAAGAAAATGTTTAAATATTACTCAAATATTAATTAAATTTTTATAAAAATTTCCATTAAGTTACGAGCGATTTAAATTAACATCTAAATTGTTTAAAAACACATAACTTAATGGTTAAAAGATTCAAATAAATTAAAGGACGATGCATTAAAAGGTCATCACATAGTCATCATCTTATAAATTTTAAGATGAAAAATAAATATTTTAATCAAGAAATTTAACACGAAGACAGAGAAAAGAAGAGAATAAAATAAAATAAAATAAAAAAATGGAAAAATAATTTTATTTTAATTTGATAAAACGAAAATAATTACTTAAACGTATAAAAATATCATTTCTAATTTAATTCCCTAAACTAAAAATACCTTAATAGCAATTAAATACTTTTATTATAGAAGAACAATTTCAATGGGAATAACTTTAATTAAAAACTTGACAGTTAATCGTTGACAGTTAATACTCGAAAGATACAGTATTTAATTTTTTTTTCTTCTTTATTCTCTTCTGAATTTTTATTAAAATAGCAATAATATAGAAAGACATTTTAAATAATTAAAGCATATATATATATATATATAT